GGATATAGCTCAGTGGTAAAGCACCCCTTGGTGCAATCACCAGCACTCCCCCTACAAAAGAAATCTGAATGGAAATTCTAGAAAAACTAGGGAGTGCTGGGTGTGATGACACATGTCTCTAATATCAGTAGCTCTGGAGGCTGAGCCAGGAGGATTGCAAGTTCAAAGCCAGCCTCAGCAACAGCAAGGCTCTAAGCAACTCAGTGACACTCTGTCTCTAAATAAAATACAAAATGGGGCTGGGGATGTGGCTCAGTAGCTGAGTGCTCCTGAGTTCAATCCCTGGTATCTACCCCCCCCCCTCAAAAAATAGGAAGAAAATCAAAACAAACAAAACAAAAGCAAAAAGAAAAGAATCTCTCAAAGAAATAATAATTTTAAAAAATGGATGCCATGAGTTTTTAGAGTAAAAGAACTAGTGAGGGCCCAGAACAGACATTGAATAAAAGACCTCTATCAAGTACATCACTTTGAAATTCTGGAATAATAGGGACAAAAGAAGATTCTACTCAAGTGAGATTCTACTCAAGTGAGAAAACCAGGTGAGGAGTGAGATTGACATCTGATTTATCAAGAAMGACACTGAAAGCTGGAAGATAATGGTGCAATGCTTTCAAAATTCTGAGGGAAGTTTTTCTATTTTCAATTTCTATTCTGGACAGACAGTTACCCAAACATGAGGGGAGAATAAAGCCATTTTCAAGGCATACAACTCAAAAATTTATTTATTATGCAAACTTGACYTGGCAGATAGAGAGGGAGGTCCTGAAATGACAGCTCTGTACCAGGCCTCTCCCATCTAAAGTGTAAYAACCGTTTTATATGGGAGAGTGAGATGGAGAGCTCTAAAAGGGAATTCTAAAATGTTAAAATGTATTAACAATATGTGTCTAGTTCTGGCAATAAGTCTAGAATAAATTAATGATAGGTAAGTGAAAGGTATATAAAATCAAGTAAACTGAAAAGGAGAACATTATTAATTTTAGGTAAAGTAAGATGTAAAAGGAAGAAAATATAATAATTGTTAAAACTATAATAACTGATTTAACTGAAATTTTGCTGAAAGGATGGGGAAAGGGAAGCATGGATCTGTATTTTTAGAGGCAGGGCCTTGCCTGAGAGTGCCAAATTTTTATCTAATATTGTAGGAAGTCAACAGTAATCTGAGAATTAGAATAATAAAAATATTAGCAAAAGTATATTATCTTGAAATGTTAAYAGTAGATACCTATAGACACTGCTAAAAGATATCAATGTCATTGCCTCTGAGGAGCGGAGATGAGGATAGGCTGGATAAAGGAATTTTGAAAAAGGACTTTAGAACTCTTTGACTTGTAAAACATGCACATACAACTTGAACACAATTAAAGTATTATTCTATCCAGTGAAAGTATGTTTTGAACACAAATAGTAGCAGAGTATATTTACTGTGCTCCCATAAAAATATCCTGTAGATCTTGTCATTATCAACACTATAAATGAAACTCCTACTTTTTTTAATAGTTACATATGATTTCATTAACTATATATATTTATTGGCATATAAATTTATAAATGTACATATTGGGATATTATAGTTTCAGAAGTGAAAATCTAGCAAAGTTTTGAGGTATTTCTATATTGTCCTCTAAAGATATTGCACCCAAACTTATAGCCTCATTACCAATGTTTGAGAGGACTGAACTGTCCTACATACTCACTATATATTACAAAACTATCTTTGCATTTGGAATGTGAAAGTACATATTGTTGTTTTAATATGCACTTGTTTAAATTTATTTTCCAAAAACTGTCTACTCCATTACAATTTTGAAAATCTATCCTTATTCAGATTCCGGCACCATTCTTGTTATTTACTATTCTATTTTTCATTAGCACTTGTTCCTCTCTTCTTTCAAAAAGTTGGGTAAAATTTATCCTTCCCAGAAAATTTTGTGTTTTACTTTCTCTGAGCACTGTATATTCATATGCACATATCACAATTACAGGTATATTTCTATTTTCAAATCATGAACCAAAAATATTGATTGTGATATAAAGATAATTACAAATACAATACTTCATAGAATTCAACATATGACATTGCAGGATAAACTATTATTCCATGAGCTACTAATAAAGTAAAATTCTATAAAGAAAAATCAACACAACCCTTTCTTATCATTTAGAATTTTTATTGTGTATTTGCTGAATTTTATACAATACATATTTTTCACATCATTTGAGAATAAAAGAACTGTGCTTTTAAAAATGTTAATTTTACTAAATGGCTATAAGAAATATATGGGAACTAATGCATTTTGAAAAATGATAAATTTGCAGGTGTAAGATGATGCCTAAAAAATACCAACATTAGTAAAATGGGCTTCTGTAGTTTTGGTTGAATTACTTTAAGCCACTTAAATARTCAGTTCTGTGTAGCAAAACGAATAAGCTATTAGATAACATGTAAACTTTCTGAAAAGACTTCTGGTAATAATAACCATAATTCTATAATATAGGAATTATTTTGATATAATTTGTAAGTCTTTATGGGTCTGTGATTTACATCCCTACAATGGTGTTGATGAGATCAATTTTATAGGCATGTTTTACCACAGAGGAAAGTACAATATCAGTGTAGGTTTGGTAAYCCATGAAGATTTCCAAAGTTTGTAGGTGACATTTAAAAAAAAACATTAGACCACAGATATACATAAAAGCAAACTACAATGTTTCTTGATTCAAGGACAGGTATATTTATTTTAAGATAATACAAGAATGTAAGACAGGTTGCTTTTCCATTGTAATTTATAATAAGGACAATTAATTGGAATTTAAGTTAAATGAATTTCTTATTATGAAATGATTCTGAGAAGTACATTAAATCATTTGTCACATAAGCTTTCTGTAAAAAGTAGTCATAGTACAATTTTATGTTATAGCTTAATCTTTTCAAAGAAAAGTTTACAGAAGGAAATACTGAAAATAACAACATACAAGTACATTATTTTCAAAGCATTTAAAAATATTTAAATTGGTGTAAACAAAAATCCAGTGAGATATTTTTACCTCCTATATTACAGATAATAAAGTTCAAGTAAATCACTGTAATTTACTATGCTCTTTCCATTTAAATTGATTAGGATGTTTTATTTATTCCCATTTTAATATTTTGTTGCAGACTTGTAAGCAGATATTCATCCATTCATCTGACAAACAATAAATAATAACCATGTGTATATAGTACAGTGTTCTTCATTGGGAGAATGAAGGCTAATAAAGGATATTAAATGGGCTAATTTGATTTTATAATATTTCCCATGTACACAAGATAATATAACTTAGAGCCAAAGATTACATCACGTTTTTCCATTACTTGAGATAACAGATAATACTATGAATAATCAATGCAAAGTACAGTAGATAGATAACCTTGAAAGCAGGTTACATAAGGGGTTCTTAAAATTAAGCATTTATTTTTCTATATTGGCATAATAAATAATATAAGATAAAGAATGTAAAAATTCTAACAAACACAAAATCAATTCTAACAGTAACACTTTCTTGGAAATAACATTACTTTTATAAATAAGCTAATGCAGATCAAYTTCACATTTTATAACTTGTAAAAARGTCAGTGTCTTCTATTTTCATATGTAAAAGCAGGGTAATAGTTGGAGTGTATATAACAATTAAATATATCTTAGGAAGATAAATGAACATATCTTCCACATGCAACATATAAATATATTAGCTTAAATTCATTGTATGACTTTTGTATAGTATCCTTGTAAAAACTAAATGTTTCTAATTAAAGATTTCTATTTAGTACTATCAAATTATTTCTCTGTGTTAAAACCTAGTTTGTGATTTTTCAGTAGAAAGTTTTTGTTTTCCCTTTTAAGACATATTATTTTGAATAATGAATTATATTTAGAGTATTACTGGCATCACTTTTGTATGTGGTCCTTTCACAAGAAATAATATTAGCTTCTATTTAAATATACATCAGTCTTCTAATTTTGCTAGCTTTTTATAATACCCATTTTGATGCTAGACATAATTAAGAATATGCAATAAGTCACAGAGCTGTAAGATGTTATTTTACTAGTGTTTTAACATATGTCACCTGCAATAAGAATCAGCATCAAGTTTCAAACAATAATGATAGCGACTACTATCACAAGTGTCCCTGCTTCTAACCATCAATGTATGCCTTTATTTCATTATTGTTTTGAGAAAAAAATCCATAGCTAAAATTTCTTTACTATATACATAGAAGAATATCAGACATTCTGTTGGCTTTGGTAAGTGAACAACAAAAAGTCAAACACAAGTCAAACAATATATATTACTTAAGTACTTTTAAAATTTAAAAGTACAATGTAAACCATCATACTATTTGTCAGCTTAATTTCTACTTGTTTTCCAAAATAATTTCAATATAATTAAAAAACCTGATAAATAAAAAGGATTTAAAAACAATTAATTCTAAGGGCTCTAAGATAATTCTGAAGCAATACTCATTTTCTGAAAATAACTTCACAGTCCAAAACCAAAAACAAATATGTTGACCATTTTTAAATGATCTGTGTTCTATGAGTCATAAATTATTTTAAAATAAGGAAAATTCCTAATAAATAAAAATATTTTAAATATATTATTATATCATCAGTGGAAGTATGCATATACTTCTGAAGGGAATGAAAAAGTGCAGAGTTCAATAAATCAAGTCAAAAGGTCAACTTGATTATATATAACATCTGTAGGAAGAAGATGCATTTCATCTCTTTTATGTTTAAGAATTCAGTTCAAGAAAAATATATAAATTCCATAGCATTTCACCTTTCCTTTCTTCATGTTCTGATTTCAGCCTTGTTTCCACTCTCAGAAATTTTGTTTCTTGCATTTGTCAGATAAACAGTAATCCATTAATATTTGCTTTAGGAATATCTACTTAAAAAACACAACAATAAAGCAATATTTACTTAGGATATGACTGAGACGTGATGGCATTAATTAAAATTCTTATGAAAATTATGTGAAAAAGTAAGGTACTCAAAAACATTCCATGTAAAATAGTAAGTAGACTTAACTTAATTAAAAAATTTCTCTTTAATTTTGAAGTTCAGTGTTTCATTAGGAATTTACCTAATCCTCAGTCTTAGGTCTAGGAAGAGAAAGCAATTTCTAGCTATGGATCGTGTGATATTATTACAAATWGGTTAGGAACACTACCTATTATGGATGTCTAAATGAATGGTCCTACTTTTTTAAATACATGTTTTGTTTAAATTCTCAAAGGCAGTATAAGCTTCCTTAAAATAGAGATTAGGAAAATCTTCTTTGATTATCTGGATCACAATAGTTAAACCTTAGACAAGTAAATACTTGCTTCTAAACATTTTAGACCAGTATTTCCCAAAGTGGATTCCAAAAACACTAGGTCTCAAAGTTACTTTGCAAAATGTTGATAACTGCAATTTACTTTGAAAGACAAAAATGAACAGCAGCATATTGGGATCTAATAAATTCTATGGGGAAGGAACCTATTTAACCATTTTTATCATAAAACTTGACTATGCAGCCTTTTTTTTTTAAGAAAAATATGCAGTGATATATACTCAGGAAACAGTTTAGGAAACAACTGCTGTAGACATATATGAATGTTTCAAGCCTGAAGAAAACAACAAGCAACAGGCACATAAATATACTTATTTACAAAAACAATCAAATTTCTATTGTGGAAATCTAATTAATCAGAGCTCACAAACTGTATAGCTATAGTTGACTTTGAAAAGRAAAAAGGAAAAACATAACCTTCATTTTGGAGATTAGTAAGTTTGAGATAGTTCTTTGGATCATTACAAATGGAACAGATATCCTGAACTTTACTCAATTATTACAATCCATGGTGATAGTATAAAGAGTAAACAGCATAGTTTTGACAGAAAAACCTGAAGCTCAAATTCTGCAAATTATCTTGGGCAAGTTACTTGTGAACTCTTGCTTTTCTCTGGTGTTAAATTGGATATCTATTTGAAAGAATTAAATGAGATACTACATGTGGAAGAACACTGAGTAGTGCTACACACCTTAAGTAATTCTAAAAAAAAAAATATCTACTAAGTTGTAGAAGTTCAGAATCATGATCTCAAAATACAGTAATAAATACTCTTTAGGAGCTAATAATCCTAGATTACAAACATATGATTTAAATCATTATGTTRCATCTGTTCAGGTGAAATACTATTTTAAGTTTAACGTAAGAATTTTAAAACACTCTAATGGCCTAAAAATACATTATAATTGTGTTTCTCTCAGCTATTTTTTCTTTTTTTTCCCCCTGTGGTGCTAGAGATCTAATCTAGGTCTTATAAATGCTGTACACATGCTCAACCACTGAGCTATACCTTTAGCCCTTTTTCAGCTATTTTTAAATGTTATAAAAGAAAAATAACAATTATTCCTTTGTTGTTATTGAAAAAAATAGATAAACAGATAACATACTTATCTGCTATGAAGTTCTTTTTTTAGGCAGGATTTGAAAGTGGAATACTTCTGTACTGTTTTATAGCCCTGTGGAAGAGAGAATCAAAAGTGTTCAAACGTTCATAAAGAAACATTCAGCCTAATTTAATTTACATGTGGAATCTAAAAATGTTAAACTCATATAAGTAGAGTAGAATGGTGGTTAGCAGGTGCTGAGAAGGCTGCAGGATATGGAAAGAAGTTTTCCAAAGGGTACAATGATCCAGTTAGACAAGAGGAATGAATTTTCAAGATAAATTGCACAGAATGGTGACCAATGTTAATAATTTTGCATTGTATATTTCAAAATTGCTGAAAAATWCATTTAAAAATGTTCTCACTACAAAATAATAAATATGTGAGGTGAAAGATATATTAATTAACTTGATATAATTATCTACAATGTATTCAAATATTAAACAACATTGTACCCCCCAAAATATATACAATTGGTATCTGTCAATTAAAAATAAACTAAAAAAATTTGAGCAAATATTAATAAAAGCCAAAGGGAACCACAGGAATGTAATATACACACACACAAAAATTAATGCTTAAGGTAGAAATAGTGTAAAAGGCTAATAGCATAGTTTATGTTTATTTATTTGGTTTTCTTACTYTAAATTTTTTGCAGAAAAATTAGAGAGATTTTTAATATATGTCCTTACCCTGTTTGTGGCATGAACTGAAATATTAAAATCTAACCACTAGGTGGCAGTTAAGTACACAGCATGTTTACAAAGATGGCTTTTCTTTCTTTCTTTCTTTCTTTTTTCCTAGTATTTTTTTTTTAGTTGTTGATGGACCTTTTATTTATTTGTATGTGGTGCTGGGATAGAGCCCAGCACACATGTACTAGGCAAGCACTTAACCACTGTGCTACAATCCCAGCCMGATAGCTTAGTTTTAATGTCATTATATAATTTAAGGCATAAAAAAAACATAATCTAAGATAAATCTTGAATTTTTTTTCTATATGTAGGTAGCTTTTTCTATTTTAAAAAGCACAGTACTTAGGGATATTCTTGCTAAAGAGGAAAGACTGAATATACTAGCTGTTAATTTTAGTAGAAAAAATTTTTGTTTTCCATTTGTGGTACATCCATAAATATGTTGGATGTATATACATTTATTGGCTCATGCTATGTTTCAAGCTCTAAAGCATGGTTCTTAGAAAAACAATCACTGAAGATTTAACAATTAACTTTTAATATGTCAACAGGAAAAAATAGTTAAACAGATAAAAATTGTTTGAAATTTATTTCCATATAAACAGTAATGAATATGTAGTGACTTAAAAGCCTCAAGATACCTAGAGGAAATATTTCTCATATAAAAGAAAAAGTAGAGGTATACTTGTATATTAACAAGTCTAAAAAGCCAATGTGCAAACTGAATTTTTCAAAAATTTTGGCAATACTTCACCCCAAATAAAGACATTGAACTAATTGTGTATGAAAATAAATTATTAGAATATTATTGAAAAAGCATGAACTTTTTTTTAGGTGTAAAATTGTTTTTGCTTAAGTATGGAAGGCCTATGGTTTTTCTTTGCAAAGAGAGCTTTATGCTTAAATTGTTAAATATGTAAGTTGTTTAAATATGTAAGTTGAACTTATTATTYCCCCCCCCCCTAGATTTTAAAAAGGATATCAATAGACTTGAAATTTGTAGGTTTACCCGGAATCCTCTATGGAGTCTGTCCTTCATAATCCCAATAAATTCTTTATAACTTAATTGATCATCTTTGTCAACATCAAAAATCTTGAAGACAGTATTCACTAAATGTGGTGAAAGTTTGAGTCCAGTAGCTACGTACACAGCACGTTTAAATTCATCTAGATAAATGTCACAAAAAAATGAAAAAAAGTAGATCATTAATATTATTTTTTTTAGTATGTGTTAATTACTGTGGAAAGGTTGTAAAAGAAGCTGTTTTCATAATCTACTTATATAACACAGGACTTTTCATTAATCCTATTGTCTTTTAGGGAACAAGAAGATATTTTGTGGTTTTAATGAAAGAGCAAGAAGCAGTTAGTTGTATTTTATGTTAATAATGTCATAATTAGTGCATCTTTAATGAGCATCAGTGACAGTTCCTTTAAGTTCTGAGGAAAGAGCTCAGATAGGAGATGAGACACTTGCCCAAAAAACCATTACACAGGGCCACATAAAAAGTACCAACAAAGTACAATGAGAATCTGAAATGAGTGAGTACTTCTGTCTGCAGAGTGGAGTAGGGAGGGGAAGAGAAAGGCAGTGATTTGGAAAGGCTGTGATTTTGTATTTGAACTAAGCCTTTAAGGGTGGATGATTTCAGCTTGTAGGGATCAGAGAATGACAGATGAGATGATGTAAATGAAAAAAGGCATGGGTGCAGATGGGAGAAGCATAAAGCAAGATCAGAAAATAGTGAACAGTCTGGTTGGGTGAGCACAAGGAAAATAAAGGATTTGAAGGAACTCTACACAGATTTTAAGGTGAAGAACCTGCACATTCTCTAACAGGCGATTTGGAAATTTAGGAGTTTTCTATAGTTGTTGTATCATAGAATGGTTAATTCAAGTTTTAGGAAGATTCTTCTTGAGTTGTCTAGGAAACATCAGAAAGCAAAGTAGCTAATGGAAGAAATGACACAGAGGTGGCTCATACAATAGTCCTTTTAAGATGTCAACTCCCAAATTAAGATGCTAGTAATAACAAAAGAACGAAACAGATATATTCCTAGCTCTCACAAAAGCACTACAATTTTTTTCCATTTCCCTAGTTCCACCAAGTAGAAGAACGACTTTCTATTCTGAATTAAGTAAACTGATACTGATTTTAAAATATTTTGGTAGTAAAGGCTGTCTGTGAAAGCATGGCTTCCCAAAATTTTGGTTTTAAAACACTACATTAGGCTAAGATGAAGTCAATATTATGAACATATCAATTTCTTTGAATGTTGTAGACTAGAAAATGGAAGAAATACAAAATTTTCTCAGGTTTCTCTTAGTCAATGAATAAATAAATGAGACCTTATAATGGATCTATGGATGTTAGTTTTGTTTGATGCTGGGGGTCAAAACCAAGTCCTTACTGATCCATACCCCTAATCCCTTTATGTTTTTGAGAGAGATGATTATCATCATCACTTAGGAAGCTCAGGTTGGCTTCTCCTTGGAATTGAACAGTAAAAAACCCAAGAATGCCCCCTGAGATATAAGCTTGTGAATTAACACAGATTATGGCAGAGACATTATAGTAAAATCTTCTTAATAGATATAAACAGAAAGTCCTCCTATGGCAAGAATTTTATAAAAGGACATGTCCTTGAGGGGAGGGAAGTTGATGGTCACTGTCACAGAATTCTAGTAAAAGAACTTGGCTTCTTAGCCAAACAGTGTTGGAATAAGTGAGAGGGTCCTGAGGACTACAGCATTCTGAATTCTATTTTAGTTGTATTTGTGTATAAATGAAGCAAAACTGATAATATAATTTTATACACAATTCTTAAAAGTCAGTTAATGTAAATTCATGGCTAAGACATGGCTCTGCTGATATATTTCTGGGTTTTCAGCCAGCAGGTATTAAATCAATAAAATAAATAACATTCTATGAGAATGTCTGAGACATGGCCAGCTGGCTCTTCCATAGGTAGACACATGTCCTTCAATGTCATCAAGTGGTCAAGAGGCGGCTTCTTTGAATGTTTTTACAAACATTGTTTTCCCATATATGAAATTAAGGGCAAAAAGAAATTCAACAAAAAATTTATCTCATTTACCCTAAACTCGTTTAATTTTCTTTAAAGTGTCAGTCACTTCTCACTGAAAGTGTAAATCAGATTTTCAGGCAAGTTGATGATAATACCGTATATCTAGTTGACATTTTGCTAAAGTCTCTAGGTACAGTATAGTAAAGTCTCTAGGTACAGTATATGTTTTGCTTTAAATGTTTGAAGGGTGATTACTTACCTTGTCCTATAGAGCGACTTGCAAAGTTATACATATTAAGGGCTATTGCAAAGTCTTCTAAGTTATTCAGAAACTGGAAAAATGATCTGAATTCATCAAATGTGATGCCCTATTTTGAAGAAAATAAATATAAATGTAATCAGTAGAGTCAAATTGATTAAAATAACTATCTACACTTAATACAAGTAAACAAATTAATCTTCAATTTATCTTGAAAGTAAACATTTCCAGAGCACATGTTGAAACTATTTTTCTCCAAATGGAATCTAAGATTCATTCAGACTTATTTTCACTGGGTAGTGTTTCTACCCTTAAATAATAATGAATGTGTTTTAAACACTGTCATATAAGCTCAAAAGCTTCAAACAATGCTACAATAAAAAATGAATTAAAAAGTTTCAATTTTGAAAACCCTTTACATAAAGCTCACTTTTTTAACCCTTAAAAATGGTAATTAAAAAAAAATAAGAAATAGTTTTCTTTGCACATGTACTCCCTTAAATATGATTCAGCATTCAATRTCAATGTCTTTAGAATGACCATGCAAAATCAAAATGTTGACCAAAAGTCAACAGTAGTCTATTTGAACTTGCCCCTGTCATGATAATGCTACCAAGACAGCAGGAGGAAGTCAATGACTGAACAGATACAGCATTGGCAGGCCCAACACAGGCCTCAGGGTAGGATCGTGTAAAGGAGTGGTGTTAAGAGTGGCTTCTTCTGGAATGTACAATTGCAACCACTGATATTATGGCAGTTAAATAGAAAGGTTATTGGAAATAAATACGATGTATCTCAGAGAGTACAAACTGGGACAGGAACTGAATTTCAGTTAATGAATTCTCAACAAAATTAACATAAATGAAAAAGTACACAGAGAAAAGAAAAGTGGAGCAAGAGCTGAGACTTAACAAATTCTGACTTTAATGTGGGGGTAAAAGACAAAGGGACACTAAAGAGGCAGTGCTGGAAAGCTAGGCAAAGAACCAGAGGAGTGTATTTTCATGTATTAGCTTACTACTGATTAAATGACTTATCACCAAAATATCCAATTTTTGGTATACATTATTTCCAATTGAATTATAACCCCTCTTTTACTTGCAATATGAAAATCCTCATTGTATTTGCATACTTTTGTCTTTTTCTTGCATTTATTTATGGCCACTCCAATCCTGGATCCTACTTTGTGACGTGATCCTATCTGCCATTTCTTCTAGAGAGGGCAGTTAGAATTACTTAGGAAGACTGTACCAGGGAAAGGGAGAGAGAAGGGAAATTGCATGGAAATGGAAGGAGACCCTCA